GGCTGGGGATTCGAACCCGCCACCTTAGGTGTACGTGGCTGGCGCCTTAGCCGCTTGAGCCACAGGCGCCGAGCCTGAACTTCTATTTTCTTATTTATAAAATGGAGCTACTTATATATAGGATTGTGAATTTAAATGAGATGGACACGAAGTATTTAGCAAATCCTAACTAGTTAGCCATAATTATCCCTTACATACTAATTCTTTACATTTATTTTAAAAATAAAATTTCAGGGCATTTCAGTTTTGTCAAAGACCATTTCTATCATCAAACCTTGTTCCGTATGTATGACAGGTTCTGTCTACATGTGTCTGGTACAACTGGAGCTATGTGGTAAATGACAGGAAAAGCAGAAGCTGTTAAAGAGAATGATGTGGACAAACAAGATGGCAGGCAATAATGCCAGGGGAAGGGTACCGAAGGGCTTTCCAGGTCTTGGTTCTAATCTCATCCTGCCTTGGAGAGTCTATGAGACTGCTGTGTGTCCTTATTTGTTGCCTAAGTTAGCCCCAGTGTGCTTATGTGTAACTAGGCTTTGTTTCTCCATTTTCTTTGACCATCACAATATCCCTATAAGACAAACACAGCATAATAGAATGAACATACGGAATCAGACAAGCATGATGACCCTGCAGTTAGACTTAATGTCTAACTTTTAGATGAATTTATAGTCTGTTTCCTTATTTTAAATATAGGATAGCAATGCTTATTTTGTTCTAGGGCTGCTTAGAAGATACCGGTAACTAAGATATGTTGCAAAAAGAACTCAACACATAATCATTCCTATTAATATCCTCTATTTTGCAAAAGGTAGAAATATGGCTGAGAAATATCAATATTCTATCACACCACACTAGGAATAAAAACAGGAAAATCCACTGTCTTAACACACAAGATTACTGAAAGAATGAGAAACAAAAGTGAGAAACTTGAACTCTTAAGCTCTCTGAAGTTAATTCTAAGTGATTAAGTGGAATTGTGCATTTACTTGATGCCAATAGCTTAGTGACAGCTTTGCTTATAACTACTCAATTTCCTTTACTCATACCCTACATTAGTTTACTTTCCCAAATTTCTCCTCTTTGAGAAAAGAATGTATTGCCAGTAGACATAAATATTCTATTCTGCTTGTCAGTTCTACTGCTAGGTAAGGTTTTGGTTTGGTGAATTATTTTTCCATGGAAGACTACTTACCAGTAAACTGACAAAAACAAAAAAACTGGGCATTGCACACTAGACCCTGAGAAGGTACCATTCCACAAAAACCCACTCACAGCTAGGACCCATAGGGAGGATTTACCCTGAGCCTTGAAGTTGCCTCAAATCCTTCTAAGCAACTACAGGAGTCTAGGTCAAGGGTCTCAACCTTGTCTTTACATTAGAATCATTGCAGCTAAAGGTGGGGAAGGGGAAAGGGCTTTAAAAAAATATTGATGTCTAGTTAAAAACTCAAAACAATTAAATCATCATCTTTTTTTTTTTTTTT